CAGTTTGGGGAGTCTGAGTCAGTGGACCTGGAGCTGCAGTTTGAGCAGAAGTAGATTAGTGTGTTATCCGCTTACATGTGGATGTTTACCCCATGTAAACAACAACAACCTGCATTTATATAGCAGCCGTCACTCTCGGTGATGCTGAGCCAACATCTCACAGCTCAGTTGTGTGCAAATTAACTGCGGTGTTTGCCTTCAACATACACAGTCACTACACCTCATAGCAATTGGGCAGAAATATAAATAACATTAGGGGGCACCCAGATTTGAACTGGGGACCTCTTGATCTGCAGTCAAATGCTCTACCACTGAGCTATACCCCCAACACATCTGCCCTGGACAGGCTGCCCCCTATATGTGTTGGACACAAACACAATGCAAAGGTGTTGCGCATCGGTTTGCGGAGTCTGAGGGATAGGCCGCGGAGGTTGAGGAGGTCAGAGCCGCAGAACAGAAGCCGTTGACGGGAGCCAAGGAGTATGGCCTCCGTCTTGGTAACATTTAGCTATAAGAAGTCTGCTCTCGTCCCAGGCCCTGATCTGCCGGAGAAGCCGACAGAACTCCAGCAGACCTGGAGTCGCAGGTTGAGCAGAAGTAGATGTGTTGAGTCCAGCGCTTACGTGTGGAAGTTTACCCCATGTAAACAACAACAACCGGCATTTATATAGCAGCCGTCACTGTAGGTTAGGCTCGGCCAACATCTCACAGCGCTGTCGAACTGAACAGGGTCAGTTGCGTGCGAATTAGTTTTGCCCAACAACATCACATACACAGTCACTACGCGTGACAGCAATTGGGCGTAAATATAAATAAGAGTAGGGGGCACCCAGATTTGAACTGGGGACCTCTTGATCTGCAGTCAAATGCTCTACCACTGAGCTATACCCCCGGCACATCTGCCCTGGACAGGCTGCCCCCTATATGTGCGCTGTACACAAACACAACGCACCGCTGTTGCGCACCGCAGGAAGCGCATGAACAACCACAACTTGTATTCATGCAGCGCTCCTCGCGCAGGGTAGCGCCCCAGAGCGGTGGAGCCCGACCCTGAGCTGCTGGGAGGACTCCTATGGGAGGACTATGGAGTCCATACGTACATGTGTGATGAACACGATAGGAGAATACTAAAAAGAAATATGCCCATGACGCTCCGCCCAAAGCGAGACCTTTCCGGTGAGGGATAAATCACGTCTCTACGTCAATCGGCTATTGCGTTCTTGGCGGAGACAGACAGACAGACAGACAGACAGACCCTAACCCTGAGGAAGAGAGCCAATTAACCTCACGCACAGTCACTACACTGCGCAGCCATATAAACAGCTGTGGGGGGGGGGACCCAGAATTGAACTGCAGTCAAACACTCCACCACTGAGCCACAGCCCCAACACTGCGGCTCCACCACTGAGCCACAGCCCCAACACTGCGGCTCCACCACTGAGCCACAGCCCCAACACTGCGGCTCCACCACTGAGCCACAGCCCCAACACTGCGCTCCACCGCCTGAGGCGCCTCACACACGGTGGTGCTGACGGCACTAATAGCCTCCCACCGGCAGAGGGCAGTGCGGCGGAGAGGGAGAGGGACAGAGAGAGCGGGAGGTCCGGACCCGCGGATACCAACTCCTCCTCAGCGCCCAATGGAGCGGGAGAGGGCGTCACCTCTCACTGCCCGCGGCGGGGCCTCCAGGTCAGGCCTCCCCCCCCCACAGCCCCCACAGCCCCCCCCAACACAGCCCCCCCACACAGCCCCACAGCCCCCCCCACACAGCCCCACAGCCCCCCCACACACAGCCCCCCCCACAGCCCCACAGCCCCCCACACCCCCCCCACACAGCCCCCACAGCCCCCCACACACAGCCCCCCCCACAACACAGCCCCCACAGCCCCCCCACACACACAGCCCCTCCCCCACACACACAGCCCCCACAGCCCCCCCCACACACACACAGCCCCCCCACACACACAGCCCCCCACACACAAAGCCCCCCCCCACAGCCCCCCCCCACAGCCCCCACAGCCCCCCACACACAGCCCCCCACAGCCCCCACAGCCCCCCACACACACAGCCCCCCACAGCCCCCCCCACAGCCTCCCCACAGCCCCCCCACCCCCCCCACACACACACAGCCCCCCCACAGCCCCCCCACACACAGCCCCCCCCACACACACAGCCCCCCCCACAGCCCCCCCACACAGCCCCCCCACAGCCCCCCCACAGCCCCCCCACAGCCCCCCACACACACAGCCCCACAGCCCCCCCACAGCCCCCCCACAGCCCCCCACACACACAGCCCCCCCCCACAGCCCCCCCCACAGCCCCCACAGCCCCCCCACACAGCCCACAGCCCCCCCACACAGCCCCCACAGCCCCACAGCCCCCCACAACAGCCCCCCCCCACACAGCCCCACAGCCCCCACAGCCCCCACAGCCCCCACACCAGCCCCCCACACACACAGCCCCCCACACACCAGCCCCCCACACCCCACAGCCCCCACAGCCCCCACAGCCCCCCCCACACACACGCCCCCCACACACACAGCCCCCCCCACAACCCCACAGCCCCCCACAACCCACAGCCCCCCCACAGCCCCCACAGCCCCCACACAGCCCCCCCCACACACACAGCCCCCCCCACACACAGCCCCCCCCACAACCCCCACAGCCCCCCCCCCCCACAGCCCCCCCCCACACAGCCCCCACAGCCCCCCACAGCCCCCCCCACACACAGCCCCCCCACAACAGCCCCCCCACACACAGCCCCCCCACACACAGCCCCCCACACACAGCCCACAGCCCCACACACACAGCCCCCCCACACAGCCCCCCCCACACAGCCCCCCCAACAGCCCCCCCACAGCCCCCACACCCCCACAGCCCACACAGCCCCCCCCACACACACCCCCCCCACACACAGCCCCCCCACCACACAGCCCCCCACACACACAGCCCCACAGCCCCCCCACCACAGCCCCCCACAGCCCCCCACACGCCCCCACAGCCCCCCCCCCCACACAGCCCCCCCCACCCACACAGCCCCACACCCCCACAGCCCCCCCAGCACACCCCCACCCCCCACACAGCCCCCCACCACGCCCCCCCCACACCAGCCCCCCCACACACAGCCCCCAACAACAGCCCCCCCACACCAGCCCCCCCCACCCCACAGCCCCCCACAGCCCCCGCCCCACAGCCCCCCCACACTCCAAGCCCCCCAAGCCCACCCCACTCCCCCACCCAGCCCCCGCCCCCCACACAGCCCCCCCACACAAGCCCCCACCCCCCACACAGCCCCCACACGCCTCCCCCCACACCCCCCCACAAGCCCCCCACACACAGCCTCCCCACACACCCCCCCCACCCCCCCCACACAGCCCCACAGCCCCCCCCCACACAGCCCCCCCGCCCACCACAGCCCCCCCACAGCCCCCCCCCCACACCCCCACAGCCCCCCACACCACAGCCCCCCCACACCCCCCACACAGCCGCCCCCCACACAGCCCCAAA